CAAAAGCCCCCAAAACTTGAAAACTAAACACTTCTCAATAACCCATGGCTCAAAGAGGAAATCTTACGGGGACATAAAAAATATACTGAACTGAATGAACATAAAAATATGGCATAACAAAATTTATGGGACAAAGCAAAATAGTGCTGAGAAATTTATTGCACTAAATGCTTCCAATAGAAAGGAGGAAAAGTCTCAAACCAAGAATCTAAGCTTCCACCTTAAGAAATGAGAGAAAGAGGAGCAAAATAAATTCAAAGCAAGCAAAGGAAAGAAATAATACAGGGCAGGAATCAATGAAATTGAAAACAGAAAAACAGTAGGAAAAAAGTCAATGAAACAAAAAGCTGGTTCTTTGAAAAGATAATTAAAATTAACAAACTTGTAGCAAGACTGACAAAGCAAAAAAAAAAAAAAAAAGAGGACAAAAATTACCAGTATCAGAAATAAAACAGGGGATATAACTACAGACCCTGTAGATAGCAATAAAAAATGTGATAAGAACTACACTAAGAACAAACTTCATATATAAATTTGATGAATTACGTGAAATGAACCAATTCTTTAAAAGCACAAACTACCACAACTCACTCAATTTCAAACAGATAATTTGAATAGCCCTATAATAAGGAAATTGAACTCATAATTTAAAAACTCCCAAAAAAGAAATCTTCAGGCCCAGATAGTTTCGCTGGGGAATTCTACCAAAAGATTAAAGAATTAGCATCAATTCTACACAATCTCTTCCAGAAAGGAGAATTGGAGGGGACACTTCTCAACTCATTTTATGAGGCCACTGTTACCTTGATACTAAAATCAGACAAAGAATATGAAAAAAAGAAAACTACGGACCAATATCCCTTATCAATACTGACACAAAATCTTTACTGAAATATCAGTAAATAGAATTCAGTAATATACAGAAAGAATTATACATTATGACCAAGTAGGGTTTATCCCAGGGAGGTAAAACTTGTTTAATATTTGAAGATCAATCAATGTAATATCAGCAGCTAAATAAGAAAAATCAAACGATTATATCAGTTGATGCAGAAAATGCATCTGACAAAATCCAACACCCATTCATGATAAAAGTTTTATACAATCCATAAAAAACAAAAATAATTGATAAATTAGACTTCATTAAAAACTTCTGCTTTCTACCAAGGCTTCCATCAGACTGAGTCCAGTACAGCTAGATGGTGCCCGGTTACCACCACTGACTGCTCTGACCAGGATCACAACAGAGGGTTCTGGACAGAGCTGGAGAAGGATGTAGAACAAAATTCTAACTCACAAAAAAAAGACCAGATTTACTGGCCTAAAGGAGACTGGAGAAACCCCAAGAGTATGGCCCCCAGACACCCTTTTAGCTCAGTGGTGAAGTCACTTCCAAGGTTCACCGTTCAGCCATGGAGTGGACAGCCTCATAAAACCAAATGGGACTAATGAGGCACAGCAGTCCACGGACAAGGACTAGAAGGCAGAAGGGGACACGAAAGCTGGTGATAGGGAACCCAAGGTTGAGTAAGGACACTGTTGACATGTAGTGGGGTTGTTAACCATTGTCATAGGGCAACATGTGTACTGTTTAATGAGAAACTATTTTGTTCTGTAAACCTTCATCTAAAGTGAGAATAGCAGCACAATTGGAAGAGCGTAGTCGATGTCACTGAACTGCGCATGCAGAAATTTTTGAAATGGTGTCTCTTTGGCTATGTATATTTTCACCAAAAAAAAAAAAAAAGGTCGAGAAGGGAGAGGGTTGACATGTCATGGGCTTGTTAACCAATGTCATAAAACAATATGTGTACTACTGTTTAATGAGAAACTATTTGTTCTGTAAACCTTCACCTGAAGTACAGTAAAAAAAAAAAAAAAAAACCTGCCAACAACGACAACAACAACAAAAAACTTCTGCTCTGTAGAAGATCCTGTTAAAAGGGCAAAAAGAGAAGCCACATGAAAAGAGAAGCTACAGACTGGGAGAAATATTTGCAAACCACATATCTGACACAGGACTCATATCTACAATATATAAAGAACTCTTGAAACTCAACAGTAAAAAAAAACCCAAACAACACAATTAGAAAATAGGGAAAAGATATTGAAGAGGCAATTCACCAAAGAAAATGAAAGGAGGGCAAACAAGCACGTGATCAACATCACTAGCCATCAGGAAAACACAAATTAAGACCACAATGAAATATCACTACTCACACTTTATTATTATTATTATTATGTGCCGTCAAGTCAGTTCCAACTCATAGCAACACTATATACAGTAAAAAGGAAACACTGCCCAGTCCCGCACCACCCCCACGATCATTGCTATGTTCGAGTCCACTGTTGCAGCCACTGTGTCCATCCATCTCATTAAGGGCATTTCTCTTTTTTGCTGACCCTCTACTTTACCAAGCATGATGTCCTTTTCCAGGGACTAGTCTCTCCTGATAACATGTCCAAAGCACGAGAGAAGAAGTCTCGCCATCCTCGCTTCTAAGAAGCATTCTGGCTGTACTTCTTCCGAGACAGATTTGTTCGTTCTTCTGGCAGTCCGTGGTATATTCAGTATTCTTCACCAACATCATAATTCAAAAGCATCAATTCTTCTTCGGTCTTTCTTATTCACTGTCCAGCTTTCGCATGCATACGAGGCAACTGAAAATACCATAGCGTGGGTCAGGAGCAGCTTAGTCCTCAAAGTGACATCTTTGCTTTTTAACACTTTAAAGATCTTTTGCAGCAGATTTGCCTGATGCAATATGTCATTTGATTTCTTGACTGCTGCTTCCATTGGAGTTGATTGTGGATCCAAGTAAAATGCCATCTGTCAATATTTTCTCTGTTGATCATGATGTTGCTTATTGGTCCAGTTGTGAGGATTTTTGTTTTCTTCATGTTGAGGTGTAATCCATACTCATATATTAGAACAGGTAAAATAAAAATTAGTGACAATATCTAATGCTGGCAAGGATGTGGAAAAACTGGCTCTCTCATACATTGTTGGTGGGAATATATTATAAACTAAGTGTAGTATAATTAAATGTATATTTAATTTAATATACACTTACCATATGATCTAGTAACCATACTCCTAGCTTTCATCCCAAACATCTAGAAAATTTCAGTCCACACAAACATCTACACACAAATGTACACAGCAGCTTGATTTGTAATAGACAAAAACTGGAAATAGCCTAACTGTCCTTCAATAAGTAAACGGTTAAACAACCTGGTACAGTCATATCATGGAATCTACTCAACAATAAATAGGTATTATATATGCCACAACCCATATGAATCTGAAGGGCATTATGCTAAGTAAAAAACAAAAAGCCAATCTTGAAAGGTCATATACTGGATAATCCCATTTATATAACATTTTCAAAATGACAAAATCATAGAGATTGACAAAAAATTAGTGGTTCACAAAGGTTAGGGATGGTGGAGACAGAAGCGGGTGGGTGTGACTACAAAGGGGTAGCATAAAGGAGATCTCTGTGGGATGAAATAATTATGCATATGATTGTGGTGGTGGTTACACAAATCTACACAAGTGATAAAATGGCACAGAACCACAGACACACATTGTACCAGTGTGAATCTATAGGTTTTGATGTTTTATTATAGTTATGTAAGCTGTAGCCATTGAGGGAAACTGAGAGAAGGGTATATGGAATCTCTCTGTACTATTTTTGCAACTTCCTATACATCTATAATTATTTCAAAATAAAAGTTAAAATATATCTATACATCTGTATAAATTTTTGCAACTTATACATACACAATATTTGTTCAAAAGCTGTGTTTCCTAGCTTTCTCAACTAAGCTAGGATGATAAAAAGAATAAGGACTTTATTATCATTATATAGCATTATTTGCATATACAATGCCATAAAAATGATCATGATTGCTATTTTAAAATTATCCATTCTCTCCTGCTAGATTGTGCCCTCCTCAAAGTAAAAACTACATTTGATTCATTTTTCTATCCCAAGTACCCAGAACCATTCCTTACATATCAAAGGCACTCAATAAAAGTTTGTTGAGTGAAGATCTCAGGAGAGCCTATAATTAACTGGAGGATTAGAGATTTGGGTCATAAAATTGCAACATCTTGGCCTTTGGCGACAACCTTTTTATAAAAGACTTCATTTTCACTTACTTCATGTCTAATCACAAAGGAAGTGAAAGAGGAAGATCACTTTGGGCTCCAGGAAAAGCAGATGTTAGTTACACTGAGGGAAAAATGTCAAGATGGAACTTTCGAAGAAATCAGAATCTAAAAAATAGTAGATATGATCTCATAATGAAAGAAAATTAACTCCAAGAAGTAAAGAAAATAACACGTTTATTAAGTACGTCTGTATGGGGTGTATATGTAATAAGAATGTGTACAAAAGAGAAATGGTAAGTTTGACCAAGGAGGAAACGGCAGGGGTATATAAGCATTTCCCTGTAAAACCCTGCAATTTAGCTTTTGAAACAGTTTTTAGGGAGGAACTGTTAACGGAAAAACAATCTAAATGTTGGGAAATTGGTAAGCATTGGTTAATGAACAACTTATGCTTCGATCACCAGAAAAGGTTGATGTTAGAAGGCTCCCATCATTTATTATATGTTATATTACGATGGATAAATATGGAAAGATGATAGCTAATCACACTTCTTCACAATCTGATTCCACGCCCTGAAATCTCAAGCTTTTACTTAATGCCAAATATTCTCTACAAATGTTGTCTCTGGAATTTGGCAAAAATTACACTAAACTGCTCAGTAGTAGATTATTTTAAGCTAACATTTTGGAAGACAAGGTAATATTTCAAGACCTTCAAAGAAGACAAGGGAATTTACTTATTAGTTAAAGCTGGTATGCCTCTTGATCAAGCCAGGACCCCAAGGAAGCTCTATCCCTACACATCTGCTATAGTAACTCACTAGCCATTTTACACTGTTATCCAAGCTACAGCAATTGCTGAAAGAACAATTAGACTCACCAATTGTAATCCAGTCGAGACTGGTGAAGCTGCTGCTGTTTTAAGAGAAGCTTTGTCTCCTGTTGGGCCAACAGATGCTGAAGGCGCTCCTTTTCAATTTCCAGCTCCATTTTCTGAAGCATAAGTTGCTGCCTTCTATCTTCTGACAATTGCTTTTTGACATCAGTTTCACTGGGATGCAGTGCCCCTCGACCATGCATCAGAGATGCCCAGGAAAGCCCACAATAAATACATGATTCCGGATGTGTACTGGAACACCAAGGGGCCATGTTTGTAGGATGGCTCTCATGAACATGACCTGCATTTTCAGAAAGTCCATGACCACAACATTGACTAGATGGAGGCTTAAGGTCTGGACATTCTTTCATCTTCAGCTCTTCTGGTGAAGCTTTCTCTTTAGGGGCTACATCCACTGGTTTTCTCCTTGGAGATGAATAATTAAATTTTCTGGTCTCCAATGGCACCCTGTCTAAACTCTCGCTGGGATGATGAAGCGCTGCTGGTTTCAAAGAATTATTCCTAAACTCCATAAGGGATTCTGAAGCTGAGTCCTGGTTTGCAGACTTAGACCTTTGCTTAGTTTGATAATATGTTTGTGGTTTGGCTACACTCAAGTAGGAACCATCCAATTCCACAGATGAAGATCGAAGAGTACTTTTCCTATTGGATACCTAAAAGGAATCACAAGACCACTTATTAAATAAGTACAAAATAAAACATGTTCTGTCTCTTGGCTTTTCAGAAATCAACGATATATTTTTACCAAACAAAACTGCTGTTTTGTCTTCTAAATAATAAACAACAGTACTCACACACCTAAACAGACATGTGCCACATAGCTAAATCCATTTTCAAACAACCTACATTTAAGTAAACTCCATGTAAGGATGAGAAAAAAACAAGCTACACGCTGCTTACGCAAGATCTTTGGTGATTTCAGGAACTGCAAATAATGAAGGTTACATAAAATCAACTTTAAAAAGAGGCAAATGCTAATGTCTTAAATGCGTAATTTTGCATACTAAGCCAAGAAATCTATTCACCCACCTTAAAAAATATCCTTTGATTGGCCATTATACAGCATGAGATTTGATGTAAAACATTTCACCTATACTGAATAGGATGTTAGTTACTACTAGATATTTGATGAGTTTTTATAAGTATCTTTATAGAACATAGATAAAACCAACCACTTTCAATAAAACGATTCTAATCAAAAGCAGTTATTTAAATACAAAACATATTTAATTTCAGCTATAAACTACAAGTGAATTTTCAATTAAGCTGTTCAAATGATTACAATCTGATGGCCTCAGACAGATAGAACAGTTGCACATTACCTCCGACAGGCCAATACAGTGAGCTCGCCCAGCATTTTAGTTTCAGGACTGTTCTACCAGGGAGAGCAAAACTTAAAATCTATTATCAGCAATTCTTGAACTTTAGTGAGCATCAGAATCACATGGAGGGTTTTAGAAACATGAATTGCTGGGCCTCATCTCCAGAGTTTCCAGTTCAGTTGGTCTGGAACAGAGCAGGAGAATTTGCATTTCTAACAAGTTCCCCGGTGATGCTGATGCTGCTGATTTGGGGCCACATACTGAGAACCACTGGTCTATGTTATGGAACATCTCTATCTGCTTCATTGTCAACCTTGGCCTTGGAAGGCTGCATTGTTGAAAAGTCATATTTCTCTTGAATCCTTGAGCAAATAAGCTTCTCTGCAAACAACTGCTGGTGAAAAGTGAAAGATAATTTCAGTGGGTATGAAAGTAAGATGAAGAGGGATTTCTGTTTGTTTTTGACATATTTGGTTACTATCAATGTTCAATATGCAAAAGATTTCCTAAATTTGCTTAAACAGAGATATAAAATGACAAGGAACCAACTATCTTATATCACCATATATCTTCTAATCCATATACCTTCTAATCCATGTATTACTAGCATAATAATAATAAGCATGTATGTGCTATTTTATAGTATCATTTTTTTCCCTTAACATTATTTCCATACGTCCATTTTTAGGCATTAACATAGCCTACACTTACTTTAATGGGAATGGTTGCTAAATTATTTACAAATATCAGGTATTTAGAATATTCCTAAAAATTTTTTTGATCAACTTTCTATGTTCTTGAGACACAATGCAGCTTAATGATTTTGATGCACGCGCTGTCAAAGAGAATATGGCTTTGCCAATTACCTGCTGGGTGACTTCTGCATGTGTGGTAGGCAGAATTCTAAGATGGCCCTTGAGATTCCCATCCCCCTTGTACATATGTCCTGTATAATCTCTTCCCCTTGAGTGTGGGAAGGAACTGCGACTGCAAAGGGATATCACTCCTGTGATTGTTACATTACATGGCAAAAGGAACTTTGCAGATGTAATTAAGGTTCCTAATCAGTTGACATGAGTTAATAAAATAATAAAGGGAGGTTACTCTGGGTGGCTTGGCCTAATTAGGTAAGCCTTTCAAAAGAGCATCGGTGGCCTCCCTGAGGTCAGACAGATTCTCATGCTGGCCTTTTAGAAATAACCTGCCAAGTGGAGGGTGAGTGGAGGGGGTCAGGTGGCACAGAGCATAAAATGGTCCCTATGCACAGAGTGGTCTCTGGCATATAGAAGCATAGAGTGGTCTCTGGTCAGGAGCTAGCAAGAAAATGGGGGTATTAATCATACAGCCACAAGGAGCTGAATGCTGCCAACAACCATGTGAACTTGGAAGAGGACCTCGAGCTCAAGATGAGAATGCAGTCTAGCTGACCCCCTGATTGCAACCTGAGCAGAGAACTCAACGAAACTGTGCCCAGACTCATGACCCACAGAAACTGTAAGATAATAAATATGTGTTGTTTCATGCCACAAGTATGTTCTTATGCTTATGGGAATTTGTTACACAGCAATAAAAAACTAATGTAGCATGTTACTCAGTTTGTCTAAGCCTTAGTCTTCATCAGTAAATCAGTCCTCATCAGTAAAACAGGGATTAAAAACAGCATCTACCTCAAAACTGAATGTGGTGGTGAGAAAGACTGGCAGTTACCATGGGTACCTGTCTTAGTCACCTAGTGCTGCTACAACAGAAATACCACAGGTGGATGGCTTTAACAAAGTGAAATTTATTTCTTCACAGTAAAGTAGGCTAAAGTCCAAATTCAGGGCATCAGCTCCAGGGGAAGGCTTTCTCTGTCTGTCGGCCTTCTCAACAATGTTCCCTCGGACTAGGAGCTTCTCCACGTGGTGACCCTGGGTCCAAAAGACATACTGCTTTCTTGGTGGTATGAGGTCCCCCTGTCTCTCTGCTCACTTCTCTCTTTTATATCTCAAGAGATTGCCTCAGGACACAACCCAATCTTGTAGATTGAGTCCTGCTTACTAACAACAGCCGCCCATCCTCCCTCATTAACATCATAAAAGCAGGATTTACAACATACAGGAAAATCACACAATACCAGGAATCATGGCCCAGCCAAATTGATACACACATTTGGGAGAGAGGGGGGGACATAATTCAATCCATGACACTCTACACTTTGGCCCCCAAAAAATCACATCCTTGCAACATGGAAAACATATTCACCCCATCATATCATAGCAAAAGTCTTAACTCCAAGCCCAAAATCTAAAAATTCCTCTTCATCTGGAAATCTAGAAGACAAGTTATCTGCTTCCAAAGGTACAGTGGTAGAACAGGCACACGCTAGACATTTCCATTACAAATGGGAGAAACTGGAGGAAAAGAAGGGATAACAGGCACCAAGCAAGTCAGCAGAACACATTACATTAGCCTTCAAGACTTTGAAAATAATCTTCTGTCCTCTGAGACAATTTACACAATGACCCGCCCCCCAGACTCTAGGTATTGGCCACACTCTCCAGATTCTGAGTGGAGGCCCCTCAGCCCTGGGCTTCAGCTCTGCCTTCCAGGCCCACTGGGACGGCAACTCTGCTCCCTCGGCTTTAGGCACACCATTCTCCCAGTCCCTCTGAGTGGCGACTCTACCCTTAGAAGCACCAGAGGGCATGGCTCCATGCTTTGAAACCCCTGAGGTCATGGCCATACCTTTTGAGACCGAGGCAGCTCGGCTTCTTGTGTTCCTTGTCTCTTTAGCTTGTTTCCTGGTTTCTTAGCCTCTCAGTTCCTCGGGCCTCATGCCCATATCCGCCCTGCTGGGGCAAGTGTTCCAAAGCTCTGTAGCTCCACTGGTAAGTGCTAGAGGTGCCCCACTCCTCCAGGAAGCCTCCTGCCCACAGGCACTCAGCTCCCTGGCTCCATGGGTCGGCTCCAGCTCCGTCTGGCACGGGTCTCCTGGTTCTGCTGCTGCCGGTTCTCTGCTGTTGCCACTTCTTTACCGATGCAAGTTCTCTGCTGCTGCTGGTCCTCTATCCCCTCACAGTTTCAGAACTGCTCCCACATTTTAGGTATCTGTTAGAGCAGCACTCCACTCTCTTGGTACCAAACTCTGTCTTAGTCATCTAGTGCTGCTATAATCTAGTGGATGGCTTTAACAAGGTTTATTTCCTCACAATAAAGTAGGCTAAAAGTCCAAATTCAGTGTTCCCCTGGACTAGGAGCTTCTCCACGCAGGGACCCCAGGTCCAAAGGACGTGCTCTGCTCCTAGAACTGCTTTCTTGGTGGTATGAGGTCCCCTCTCTGCTCACTTCTCTCTTTTATATCTCAAGAGATTGCCTCAGGACACAATCCAATCTTGTAGACTGAGTCCTGCCCCACTAACACAACTGCCACCCATCTTCCCTCATTAACATCATAGAGGCAGGATTTACAACATACAGGGAAATCACACAATACCAGGAATCATGGCCCAGCCAGATACACACATTTTTGGAGGGACATAATTCAATCCATGACAACCAGGAATCATGGCCCAGCCAAACTGATACATACATTTTTTGGGGGACATAATTCAATCCATGGCGGTGCCTATTTATAAGGGTGCCATTAACAAACAGCGAAAAAAAAGTCGTATTTATCCAAACTTTCTCTAAGGGGAACATTGCTTGCGTGAGGGGTGAGATACTCAAACGACATGATTGGTTAACAACAGATTATCTCTATCTTCTAAAGAGAGTGAGTTCAGTTACCTACGTTTATGTTGCTATGGTGGGTTTGCTAGTTGGGCCATAGCTGAATTGTTTGGGATAATACAGAAGTTCTATAACTGTCTTCTTCACACAAAAGATGTCAATCTTGCACTAACATCTTGCCCTGCCTCTTTGGGTTGTTGTGATGATGAAATGAGATAATTCATACAAAGTGCTGCAGATAGTACCTAACATAAAGTCAGAATTCAAAAATGTTTCCTATTACTATTTTTACTATTATCATCATCCCTGGCTTGTACATAGTATGTTCTCAGTAAGTATGGGCTGACTGTATCAGTTGAGTAGAAAAATTCAAATTGGGTCATACCATTTTACATTTCCATGGGCAAAGTACACTATGGGTGTCAGTAACTAAAGATAAAGAATATTAACATCCATGATTAGGCTGATCATGTGTTACTAAGGAAGAAGAAGACAAACAGAAAGCTCTCTACTACAGTCGGAAGTTAAGAAACTAGGTTATTTTATTAGTAGAATAGAAGACAGATATTGCCCCTGAGACACATAGAAGTTACAACTGGCCCAGATGAAACAGATGTGTT